CTCTATTGCTATCCACTTCCGTCTTTTTTTTATTTTTATTTTATTTTGTTTTTTCTTTTTTTTAACATGTACTTATTTTTGAGAGACAGAGAGAGAGAGAGACAGAGCACAAGCAGGGGAGGGGCAGAGAGAGAGGGACATACAGAATCCAAAGGAGGCTCCAGGCTCTGTGCTGTCAGCACCAAGCCCGACACGGGGCTTGAACCCATGAACTGTGAGATCAGGACCTGAGCTGAAGTCGGATGTTTAACCAACTGAGCCACCCAGATGCCCCTCAACTTCCCTCTTAAATCAGCTTTTGCTGCATCCCAAAGATTTTGGATTGTTGTGTTTTAATTTTATTTGACTCCATGTATTTTTTTTATGTCCTCTTTGATTTCTTGGTTGACCCATTCATTGTTTAGTAGCACATTATTTAACCTACTTATATTTGTGTTCATTCTAGATTTTTTTCCTAGGGTTCATTTCTAATTCATATTGTTGTGGTTGGGAAAGAAGCATGGTATGACTTTAATCTTTCTGAATTTGTTGAGATTTGTTTTGTAGCTTAACATGTTCATCTATTCTGGAGAATGTTCCATGTGCACTTGAAAAGAATATGCATTCTGTTTTGGGATGGAATGTTCTGAATATATTTGTTAGATCCATCTGGTCCAATGTGTCATCTAGAGCCAGTTTTCTTGTTGATTTTCTGTTTGGATGATCTATTTATTGATATAATTGATAATATCCATTGATGTCACCATTAGATGATCTTTTCATTACTTAGATGATCATTCATCTTATAAAGATGTTAAAATCTCCTACTATTTTTGTATTACTACCAATTACTTCCTTTATGTTGGGTGTTAATTGTTTTATGCATTTGGGTGATTTCATGTTGGGTGCATCAGTATTTACAGTTGTTAAAACTTCTTGTTAGATTGTTCCCTTTATGATTATGTAGTGTTATAGTTAACACTTCTTGGTCTCTTGTTAAAGTCTTTGCTTTAAAGTTTATTTTTTATGCTATAAATATTATTGCTACCCTGGCTTTCTTTTCACTCCATTTGCATAATAAATGCTTTTCCATCCCTTCACTTTCAATCTGCATGTGTTTTTAGGTTTGAAATGAGTCTATTGTAGGCAGCATATGGAGGGGTCTTCCTTTTTTTTTTTTTTTAATGTTTGTTTATCTTTGAGAGAGACAGCATGAGCAGGGGAGGGGAAGAGAGAGAGACAGACAGGATCCAAAGTGGGCTTTGTGATGACAGCAAAGAGCCTGATGAGGAGCTTGAACTCACGACCCATGAGATGATGACCTGAGCAGAAGCTGGACGCTTAACTGACTGAGCCATCCAGGTGCCCCAATGGGTCTTTCTTTTTTATCCATTTTGTCACTCTATGTCTTTTGACTGGAGCGTTTAGTCCATTTACATTCAAAGTTATTATAAAAATGTGTGCATTGCCATTTTGTTACCTGTTTTATGCTTGTTTTGTAGCTCTATTCTGTTTCTTTTTTCTCTTGCTCTCTTCTGTTTCAGTTTGCTGACTTTCTTTAGTAATATACTTGGATTCCTTTCTCTTTATTTTTTACATATCTATTACTGCTTTTTGATTTGTGGTTACCATTAAGGTTTTGTGTAATCTTATGCATATATCATTATATATTGACTTGATAGTCACTTAAGTTCGAGCCCTTTCTAAAAGCCCTGTATTTTTACTTCTTTTTCCTCACACATTTTATTCTGTGAATTCCTTGATGGATTTTGATAGGTATGCTTGATTTACTGTTTTTGTGCTATTCCTATTTATGGTATTAACTTTCCACACAAGGAGTTCTCTTTAAATTTTTTTGAAATGCTGTTTTATTGGTGATCAATTCCTTTAATTTTTTTCTATATAGGAAACCCTTTATTTCTCCTTTTATTTTGAATAATAGCTTTGCTGGATACAGTATTTCTGGTGCGGAATTTTTTTTTTCCTTTCAGCACTTTGAATATATCATGCCACTCTCTTTTGGCCTACAAGGTTTTTGCTGAAAATCAGCTGATGGCTTTATGGGGTTTCTCTTGGCTGTTACGGTTTTCTTTCCTCTTATCATTTTAAAATTCTCTCTTTATTATACCTTTTGCCATTTTAATTACTATGTGCCATGGTATGGACCTCCTTGGGTTGATATTTTGGGGGGCTTCTGTGTGCCTTCTGGATCTGAATGTCTGTTTCCTTCCCCATATTTGGGTAGTTTTCAGCTGTTATGTCTTCTAATAACTTTTCTGTCTCTTTTTTTTCTCTCTTCTTCTTCTTGGACCCCTATAATACAAATGTTATTATGCTTGATAGTGTCACTGAGTCCCCTTAATCTAATCTCTTTATTATTACTTTTTTTTCTTTCTCCTGTTCACTTTGATAGCCTTCAATTACTCTGTCCCCAGGTCAATGATCTGTTCCTCTTCTTCTTCTAGTATACTGTTTATTCCGTCTACAGTATTTTTAACTTTAGTTATTGAGTTATTCATCTCTGATTGTTTCTTTTTTTCTGTTTTCTATCTATTGAGGCTTTCGCTGATAGTCTCTACTCTTTTTACAAATCCAGTGAGTATCTTTATGACCATTACTTCATATTCTCTATCAGGCATATTACTTGTCTCTGTTTTGTTTAGCTGTCTTGCTGTGATTTCGTTCTGTTCTTTCATTTGAAACATATTTCTGTCTCTTCATTTTATCTATGTCTGTTTCTCTGTTGTGGAAGTCAGCTATGTCTCCTGCTCTCGCACGTAGCACCTCATGAAAAAGTGATCCTGTAATGTCCTGCGGTTCAGTGTCCCCTGATCACCAGAACCTGGCACTTCAGCAGTGTCTGCTGTGTGTTTTGTGTGTTCCCTGCTGTGTGGCTGGGCTATATTTGCCTTGAGCCCATTCATCTGCATAGCTCTCTTTGCCTGTTGTGGGCAGAGTTTGGTGTCTCTGTTGTTAGTGGGCCTGTCTAGGGCCACCTTGAGCTCTGTTTGGGTCAGCGGAAGAATTTGCCAGAGCTCTAGTCACATAAAACCACAAGGCGCTCTCCTTGTGTTGTGCCCTGAGAGGCTTTCTTTGGTGGCCAGGGCCTGCAGTCAGACTAGATTGTTTGCCCCCAGGAGTGGAACTCATTTGTGTGGTTATCTTCCCATCTCCCCAGGGCAGGAGGCACTTTGGAGTGCTGCTGCCTGTGTTGGGGATACTTGCACACTGTTAGGCTTGTAGGACTCCTTTGGATGTACTCCCGCCAAAGGTGAGTTGGATGGGGTCTGAGAACTAGTGGGCAGAAATGCAGTGTTAGCAAAGCTTGCATCAGTCTGCTGTGGGAGGAGACCTGAAGTTGCTTTGGAGAACTCCCGCCAAGAGCAGGCTGGAGAGTGGGGTCTGCAGGAGAATAGGGTGGCAAGGGCATCTAGGTGGAGAGTGTTTGCACTAATGCCAGCAGGTAGCCATGTATCTAGGCTGGGGGCAGGGGAGGGAAATGGTGCCTGCCAGCTCTTCTGTTCTTGAAGAAGTCCCCTAAAGATCCCTGCCCTTCCGGCACGTGTTCTGAGATTAGTAATTAAATCTCCCTTCCATACAGCACAGGTGTTTATCAAAATGCTGCTTCTATGCTGTATAGGGATATTGGACTTTTAAATATTTATTTTATGTATGTTCTTTCTAGGCATTTGATTAATTTTAATTGTATTTAAAATTATACCTTTTATATACATTGTTATTTTTGTATAATTTTAAACTTACAGAAAAGTTACTTAGTCAAAGCATTCCTATCCATCCTTAATTCAGATTATCCAATTGTTGATATTTTGCTACAGTTACATTATTTTTCTGTTTCCTTTTCTCTCTCTTATACTATTTTCCTCTGAGTCATATGCAGTTCTTACTCAAATTTTATCATTGGTCCCAATGATGTCTCCTGTAGTGACTTTTTCCTAGTGCATCTAACCAAGGATAATACATTACATTTATTATAATATCTTTTTTTAATCTTTAATTTTACAAAACTCCTCAGTTATACTTTGCCTTTCTTAACTTTGGCATTTTTGAAAAATAAAAGCCAGTAATTTCAAGGGGTTTGTAGGGTGTCCTTCAATTTTGATTTATCTATTATTTTTCCACTATTAGCTTTAGTTTATGAGGCTTTGAGGAATAGAGATTGGGTGGGAGGGTCAGGAATGCCAGACAAGTAGTGTTGTATCCTGAGTGCATCATACAGAAGTCCCATGATGACAGCTTGTCCCAATATTACTAACATTAACTGTGGTCATTAAATTCAGGTGGTCTGTCAGTTTCCCCAGTAGAGTGTCTATTTTTCACTACACAATGAATAAGCAAGTTATGGGACAATACCGTATAAATGCTCAGTTTCTCATCAAGTTTTCACCTGCTATTTTCATATACATTGCTAAATTCGCAAATCCATCATTTCTTCTACATTTATTAGTTGGTTTTCTGTAAGAAAGAGTTTTTTCCTTCTTTATCATTGGCTGAATTATTTATTCATCTATTTATATCAGCTTGGACCTGCGGGTTTATATTTCATTTAGTTGGTTATTTTCCATTACTGTTATTATTTATTTATATGTTCTAATTGCCCTAGATTCAGCCAGTAGAAGTCTGTAATCTGTGTAGGTTTGACAAGTCCCTGTCATTTTTTGAACACTTCTTTACATTGTAGAAGCCCAAGACGTCCCAGGCTCATCCCTCAGCCCTTTCTTCAAGAAGCTGAGATTTCTCTCCATGGAGAATATTGTTTATAAATAAAGATTTGGATACTACAAGGGTTCATGTGTTCAAGTCCTCTGAGAGGAGAGGACTAGGGAATATATTTACATATACAACCTATGTGTTTATTATTGTATCTCTCAAGTAATCATTTATATACACATATTGGAATGTATATGTATATATGTGTATACATATATTCAAAATATGTATATATTTAAATATACACTGTGTGTTCATTTGTAAACACTGTATATTTGAGGCACCTCTTCATATTTTTTTTTTCATGTTGTATCAATCTTTAATTATGTGTAAAGACTTCCAATCACATCACCTAGGGACCATTTTACCCACTGCTCTGTTTAGCTGCCAGTCTCTTGTCTCTCTCTTCAGCAATGGTGAGGCGGATGCCCTTTCCCCGGGGAAGAGAAATCCATGGTTTATTGCCCTTGCCAATAACAAAAATGTTGGAAAGCCGGGTGGCAAAGCTGTTGCCATTGGCATCTTTCACATGAACCACATCAAAAGAACCAGGGTGTCTCTCTCTGTTGGTGATCACACCAATTCTTCCCAGATTAGCACCTCCGGTCACCATACACAGATTACCAGTATCAAACTTGATGAAATCAGTAATCTTTCCAGTCTCCAAATCAATCTGAATGGTGTCATTCACCTTGATGAGGGGATCAGGATAGCGAATGGTGCGAGCATCATGGGTCACCAGATGAGGGATTCCTTTTGTTCCCACAAAGATCTTTCCACCTCTTCATATTTATAAGTGCCTTCCTTGACAGTGATAACTCTGCTTCCCTTTATTCTCGGTGAATTTATTCACTTGCATAAGCCTCAACGCATGCAAATAGTTTCCAAACTGTTAATAAAGACCACCACCACAAAGCAGTCCCACTAACTAGAATCCATATTTGTTTTGAGGGGTATTTGTTTATTTTTTGTTTTGGTAAAATGAACCTGTAACGAAAAGCAAAATTCACAATTTTAAATGCATAATTCAATGAGTTTCAATAAACAGATAACATATCCCTGTCAAGATATGCAACATTTTATTACACAGAAATTTTCCTCATGCCATTTCCCAAGAAATATTCCCACACCCTGCTCCCTCATACACATATATGCACGTGTGTGTTTGTACATATAGTTACCTTCTGGGGTGCCTGGGTGTCTCAGTCGGTTGGGCGTCTGACTTTGGCTCAGGTCATGGTCTCACGGTCTGTGAGTTCGAGCCCCGCGTCGGGCTCTGTGCTGTCAGTTTGGAACCTGGAACCTGCCTCATATTCTGGGTCTCCCTCTCTCTCTGCCCCTCCCCCACTCACGCTCTGTCTCTATCAAAAAATAAATAAACGTTAAAAAAATTTTATAATTACCTCCTAAGAGATGACATTTCCAAGGTCATTGTTAGATATCCTGGAGGCTCAAGGAGGTTTTACTGGTAAGCACTTGAATGTCTAAACCCGTAATTGCTTAATTTATGAATTGAATGTTTTTCATTTCTCTTTAATTAGATTTTTGTAATCAAATAGTACATAATGCCAAATTTTTATTCAGTTATTCTAGAGGAGGACAAGTCTTAGAGTTTTAGAGCGTTCGGGTGAGCTAAGAATATTATTTAGAGTGGTGTAGAGCAGAATTTAACCATACGTAATGGTTAATGAAGATGTCTCAGCATTTGCCAAAATGTAATTTGAGTGGATGTGATTCTGTTATCTATTGAATAAAGAAGTCACTCTTTAAAGTCAAGTTATATAGCATGCTCTTTATTCAGCTTGTTATGCCAGGATGGAAACTATTCTATGTATATAATACCAAAATCTAACTTGGCTTTTCTGCCACTGAGTATTGTAGGTGGTCTTTAATAGAAATTCTTGGCATATACCTGCCATTTTTTTTCACCAGGCCCAAACCTAGACTGTTGGTTTGTAAGCATTGTCTTTATTATCTCTCGCACGTCTCTTAAGTGCTTATTTATTCCTCCTTGACACTCTCTCTTCTCTTTGCCTCCTTTGTTGATTCTGTTGTGCTGTAAAGCTTTAATCCTGCCTTTTCAAAATGTCTGCACCCACACAAAACTTAACAGATCCATTCTTTGGAAACATACTTAAAGTTCCAGTACCAGTCAAGGGTACAACAGTTTACTCAAGTTAAGGTGCTAATAAATGTATCAGCCAGAATTCTGTATATAAAAAAGGAATTTTAAATTCTTGGAATAAAAAATTTTAATACAGGGTGATAGAAATTTATAAAACTGTTGGAAATGCGTAGGGCAAGAGTTGCAAAGTCTTTTTGAAAATCTCAAACTACCAGAACTGCAGCACTAAAATAGGTAATTATTTGGAGGATGCTTGGAAGTCATGGACACGTCATGGAGAAGACTCCATATCTGCCATCTGCTGTACTCACTCATGTACCTGCACATACTACAAAGTCATGACTTTTCTTCTGGACAGAATAGAGTCCAAATCTTGCACATCTCATATACTAACTCACATTGTTGTATTCTAATGGCTACACTGTGGAATAGAGTTTGAAAGGTATATTTTCAAGCTTTAGTTTCAGTTGGATATGAGAGGAGTTATCACTGATCATCAGCATGTACATCTCACACAGTAGATTTTTAAGTACCTCCTCTCACATAACATTTTCATTTCAAAAGCAGTCTTTATTATTTTAGTCTATGGGGGTTTGGTCATGTAGTCATGTAAACTGGTATAAACTAATTGCCATATATTGTTCTTTAATGACTCAAATTAAGAACTAAGTAGATTTTAATGTCTTTATCAATACTTTTCAATCAATACCTATAGAACTTGATACAACCAGATGCCAGAAGCTTGATGGACAGGTTTAACTATCACTTAAATTTAGAATAACGAAAAATAATATTCAAAACTCTAAGTGCCATCTTTTCTAAGGAATATTTATTAGCAAAATGGATTAGATTAGAAAATACAGTATGGCATTTTATTTTTTTTTAATGTTTATTTATTTTTGGCAGAGAGAGAGAGACAGAGCATGAGCAGGGGAGGGGCAGAGAGAGAGAGGGAGACACAGAATCCAAAGCAGGCTCCAGGCTCTGAGCTGTCAGCACAGAGCCCAACGTGGGGCTCGAACTCACGAACTGCGAGATCATGACCTGAGCTGAAGTCAGCGCTTAACCGACTAAGCCACCCAGGCGCCCCCAGTATGGCATTTTAAAGAGAACTTTAGATTTAGATGATTAATGTGGTTTAGTTACAGATGTGGCACATGAGAATAAATCTGTGAAAATGTGCTAAGTGGAGAGATTAGTTTATGAGTGGGAAAGACAGTTATGGGTTCAGAATCGTTAGCACAAATTTTTTAATTCCAAGATTCAGTTTCTACTTTGGTGGTAGCACAATTCATGGCCATCCACAAGACTAGCAATTGACCAAACCACTCAGGTCAGTGACTCAGATCCTGGGAAGTTCGTCAGCAAACATTACAGACACTTTCATTAAAACTGCAGAAGATCAAGTGTTCTTGAGCAGAAGAAACAAGTCTCAAAAGAACAAGTAGAGGTGGCAGAAAGAAAGACCTTGATGTGTTATGTGGGATACGAATTTAAAAAGAAGCAGGAAATTCAGTGAAGAACCGGAGTAAATGCACTGATCTTATTTCTGAAGAAATTAATTATCAGAAACACCTTCAGAAAAAAAAACGGAAACCAGTATGACCAGAGTTACAGAGAAATTACAATTCCAAAGTCACAACAGGCGAATAGGGAAGTCACATTGTTACTAAATCACTAAACTGCTAACTTCAGCCTCTCCTTAAAAAAAGAAGAGGATTCTCATAAATTTTTTGTGGAATATATAAAGCTCGCTCAAACAGTGATGATTGTGGCACCGAACTGATGTAAACTCACATACAGGAAGAAATTAAGATGTTAATTGTAAAATGACAAAAGCATGGATTTGGAGGAGCAGATAGGGTGAATTCACACCTAGGGTGACTTAAATAAATTACTTAAACTCTTCGAGCCTCAGGATTATAACATCACATCACAGAGTTTTCTGAATTAAAATGACATGATGTCTCTAAAGCATTTACCATAGTGCCTGGCACATAGACAATACTTCATAACTGTTAGCTGTGAATAGTAATAACATAATGATTTTGCTAAAATAATTATTACAATTATTGGGGCACCTGAGTGGCTCAGTCGGTTGAGCGTCTGACTTCAGCTCAGGTCATGATCTCACAGTTTGTGGGTTCCAGCCCTGCGTCAGGCTCTGTGCTGACAGCTCAGAGCCTGGAGCCTGCTTCAGATTCTGTGTCTCCCTCTCTCTGCCCCTTCCCCACTCATGCTCTGTCTCTCAAAAATGAATAAACTTTAAAAAAAAATTGTTTAAATTATTACAATTATCAATTAGAATTAAGTAAAATGTTTAAATAAGTGAAACAGGACTGCATTGGTGAACTTAACTATGAACAGCTGTTATTATTATTGTTACTTTAAGCAGAAGAATATTTATTAAAGAGTATTAATACAGATAAAAGACTTGAATACTAAAAACTATAACATGTTAAGGAAGGAAACTGAAGACACAAATAAATGGCAAGATGTTCTATACTCGTGGATTAGAAGAATTAATATTGTTAAAATGCCCATACTGCCCAAAGCAGTCTACAGACCAAATGCAAGCCCTATCAAAATTCCAATGTTATTTTTCACAGAAACAGAACAATCCTTACTTTTGTATAGAACCACAAAAGATGCCAAACAGCCAAAGCAATCTTGAGAAAGAAAAACAAGGCTTGAGACATTATACTTTCTGATTTCAAACTATATTACAAAACTTTGGTAATTAAAACAGCATGGTATTGGTATAAAAACAGGCACATAGATCAATAGAACAGAGTAGAGTCCAGAAATAAATCCATGCATATATGGCCAATTAATTAATGACAAAAGAGCTAATAATATACAATAAATGGTATTGGGAAAACTGGACAGCCATGTGCAAAAGGATGGAGCATTATCTCACACCATATACAAAAATCAACTCAAAATGGATTAAAGACTTCAACATAAGACCTGAAACCATAAAACTGCTAGAAGAAAACACACACCATATACTCCTCAACCTAGGTCTTGGCAATAACTGTTTTTTAATCTGAAATCAAAATAAAAACCAATGAAAGCAAAAGTAAACAAGTCAGACTACATCAAACTAAAAAGCTCTACCCTGGGGCACCAGGGGGGATCAGTCAGTTAAGTGTCTGACTCTTGATTTCAGCTCAGGTCATGATCTCATGGTTCTTGAGATCCAGTCTAGCATCAAGCTCTGTGCTGACAGCCTTTGCTGGCATTCTCTCTCTCCCTCTCTCCCTGCCCTCCCTCCCTTTCTCTCTCTCAAAATAAATAAATAAACATTTTTTAAAAAGTCTGCAAAATAAAGGAAACCATCAACAAAATTAAGAGACAACATAATGAATGGGAGAAAATATTTGCAAATCATATATCTGACAAGGGGTTAATATCCAAAATATATAAAAAACTCCTACAACTCAATAGCGAACAAACAAAACAATATGATTAAAAAATGGGCAAAGGATGTGAATAGACCTTTTCCCCACCAAAGAAGACATACAGATGGCCAATAGGTACATGAAAAGAATATCAATATCATTAATCATCAGGAGAATGCAAATCCAAACCACAATGAAAGATCACCTCATGCCTGTTATAATGGCTATCACCAAAAAGACAAGAAATAACAAGTATTGGTGAAGATATAAAGGAAAATGAATCCTCATGCTTTGTTGGTGGGAATATAAATTGGTATAGCCACTATAGAAAATAGTATGTGGGCTCCTCAAAAAATTAAAAATGGAACTACCATATGACCCAGCATTCTTCTTCTGGGTATTTATCCAAAGAAAATTAAAACACTAGCTTGAAAAGATATATGTTTATTGTAGCACTATATGCAATAGCTAAGATATATAGAGAGAGAGACATATGTATATACATATATTTGACAGAATATTATTCAACTATATAAAAGAGTGAAATTTTGTGATTTGTGACCACATGGATGGACTTCCAGAGCATTATGCTAAGTGAGATAAGTAGACAAAAAGACAAATACTGTGTAATCTCACTTATATGTCTCATCTAAAAACAAACAAACAAACAAACAAACAAACAAAACCTCAGAGACAGAGAACAGATGGACACTTGCCAGAGGTGGGGGTTAGGAGGTTGAAAAATTTGGTAAAAGGGATCAAAAAATAACAATGATTAAAATAAAAAACAAAGTAAAAACAAAATACATAAAAGTTTGTTCTTAGAGTAAGCGATACTAGTCACAATAACGAATATACCTTAACATATAAAAGCAATACAGGGGCTCAGTTGGTTAAGTGTCCAACTCCTGATTTTGGTTCAGGTCATGATCTCATGGTTCGTGAGTTCGAGCCCCACTTTGGGCTCTGCGCTGACAGTGTAGAGCCTGCTTGGGTTTCTGTCTCTCCCCTCTCTCTCTTCTCTCTGCCTCCTCCTCTCTCTTTCTCAAAAATAAGTTAATAAATAAATAAATTGATTAATTGGTTAATTAAAATAAAAGCAATACAAACGAAGTTTTGCTCGTATGAATCTAATGGGAGCCAAATGGCTGCCTTCTACCTTGCAGCAACCACAGGAAAGATAAAGACAGCTGTAGGATCTTTCTGTGTGCTGTGAAGCTCCAGGCCAAGCCGGTGGGGCCCAATCAATTCCATTGATATTCCATTAGTCAGAATTCAGTCACGTGTCCACAACCTAGCCACAACAGAGGCTGGGAAATTTTTGTCTATGTCTAAGATGAGGCAATGGCGTATATATTTTACCTTGCTTTACATTTGGTTCAATATTACAGTTGCAACTCAGACTTCAATGAGTTACGTGTGATGGGCTTCTCAGCAGCGTGGATTTCCATAAACCTCACTTTTATCTTGGAGGCAGGCCCTTTTAACAGGTTGATAGAAATAAACTCTCCTTTAGTGTAACTAATTAAAGATGCTGCCTCCCTGAATTCCTGTTCTTTCTAATCTTAATTGCCTTTTTTGTCAGAAATAATCACTCAGTTATCTGCCCATCTTGTCATTTTATTCTAGATTTGAAAGGCTTGTTATGTTACATACCTCAAATTGAAAGGAACCTAGAGATACCTCATCAGGAAATCTCTGTACAATTAAATATCTCCACAGCTTTTTACAGATCTGGCAATTGTGACCCAGAGAAGTTAAGCAACCCTGGGAAATCCAGCTAAGACACCCCACACCCATCCTCTGTGTCTCTTTAGAGGTCCCATAATTTAGCGTTTTGAAACTATGTCTCATTAAAAACTGTCTTTTATTGCTTAGCAGATGGTACTTTCACTCCATCTTTCTTTTTCTTCTTGTTTTACAAACCCACTTGGTGAATACCATTTCTCTTATGACTCAAAACTAGCATCCTTAAAACCAAAAGCCTTAAAAAGGCCAAACACGTAGTTTTTACACTTACATTCTGAACCTCATAACAAAGGATTTTTTGACAACAGTGTTATTATTTTTATCTCAATATCATTTGTCCTGAAGACCGCATATGTACCTCTCCTGTGTATGTACTTACTTACTCCTTCTATCCTCTCTTATGCATAAACAAGAATTTACTTAGTTTCAAACTTTACACTTCAACCGTTTTCTTCCAAATGCTATTCAGGGCAACCAAAATATAGGCTTAATTTTTTTTTAATGGCCATGGCCTGTTTCTTTGATTTATGGTGATTACACTAATTATGTTAGATGTGAGCAAGATATCTTCAAGAGATGCTATGTTTTTCTTATCTCTGTGTGGCTAAACTAACCAGTGAGAGAAGCATTGACATAAACTTTTCTTAATGAATATGAATTTCCTTCATTCACAATTGAATAATTTAAATATCTTCTGAACCTTTTTGGAAGCCATTGTGCCATTTCCATACTGAAGTCAAGTATGATGTTCACAGGTTACGAACACACACTGAAAATTCATGTGAGTTTGGTCATATCACTTAGTTCCATTGATGAGGGTTTCCTTAATTAATGTTTCCCCAAATCCGTGTCACTGAAAAGTAAAATCTGGTTTCATCAATACCAAAATACATGCCCCATATTTTTTTTATATATCAGTGGGTTTGGTTCTTAGGTATAGTTATCATGGATGTTTAATTGATCTTAATTTGTCTGACTGCTGTAACTGGCAATATTTACAGGATTACCTTATGTGATTAAATTTGCATTTTTATATCTGTTTCAAGCTGAGAAAATGATGTGATGCTTCTTTTCACAATTACTCATTTGTTTTAAAATTACTTTAAATATTCCGTTGTGAACTAAGAACTGATTCCAAGTGTGTAAATAAATGAGTTTGAGCACAATTGATTTAACCTTTCTCTGAATAGTCCACAAGTATGCTAAATGTCTGTTGTATGTTCACTTTATTTGTAGAAGGCAAATATAAATTTATTTAAAAGTTTATTTGAGTTCAGTTCCCGTAAAAGTGCAGTTTTGGATGTGAAAGAAAAAGAGTAGCTCTGAGCCAAGTAGTAACAAAAGAGATCATTTTACTAATTAGAAATTCTCAGTTACGTGAAGTTTTTAGTTTCTCATATTTATGCCCCATTTCTTAATGCTATAAAAATGATTTCATGAAATATAAAGATGGCAATTAATTAAGCAGCAGGGTGTCCTTTAGGATTCTAATCCTCTTGTAAAACAACATAAAGAAAAAACAAAACCTGGAACATCAGTAACACTGCTTCAATAATAACAACAAACACTGTTACATGTTACAAATAATTAATAAGACTTCAGGAGACAAGGAACTATGTAGATGTCATAAAACTCAAGTGCAGACTAAATGAGGATCCAAATTTTTTTGTGTGTGTGGGTTTTCTTATAGGGTTTAAAGAGTTTCATTTTTACAACTTAAGGAATAAGGCAGTGGCTATAATGCAATTCCTTTATTTCCTTTAATGGGAATATTAGTTTACATTTAAGAGACAGTCATGGAACGCATGCAACATAAAAACTTCTCTTTTGTGAGAATAAACATAAAACACAGCTTCCTTAGGTATGCTTTAATTTCAATATTCTCTTTATTTTTTTTCAAATTTAAAAGAAACTCCCCAAAGCATGAAAGCCTGAAAACACCGTTATCAGAGGATTTTTTAAAATCTACTCAGGAATGTCTACATGAGTTTTTATCAATATTCATAAACCACCTGAGGATTTTTGGCTACTAACGATTATTTTATTGAAACCGGAGCACTGCAGATTTCTCTAGGACATCTTGATGACTGTTTCAGAGGCCCTTGAATAAAAAGCAAAGTAAAATAGGACTGAGGGCGGTAGCGTGGCAGGGAGATTGAAGGTATCGCTCTGAGAATTTCTAATTGCTGTGTAAGCACCAGGGCAGAATACAGTGTGCGTTGGATAAAGTTGGGCCAAGATACACAATTGTGTCTGTAGTGAGTGAAACGCAGCAACTGTGAAGGCAAATCTGTTGATGCCTGAAAGACCACACACATAGAGAGGTGGCGAACTTTTCAGAGGCTTTGTTATTCCAGCTGGGCACCCAGAATAGCGTATCAGCCCTCACACTATCAATTTACCTCACTGAGCCTGACATTGCTAAGCTCTGAAATAGTTGATTTTTGTAATCCAGCAACTATGAGAGATCATTGCTCAGAAATCACTTGGGTTATGCAATACTGCTCTTAAACGGTTAATACAGTTTACGTCTCCGTCTGCGTAGACGTCTACGGTTTTTGATGAGCAAGGCAGTGAACGTGGCATTAACTGTGTGAATTGCCAGGCTAAGACGAACTGGAAGAGAATTAAATCCTGTAAGCCACTAAAGTCACCGCAACTGTATAAAATAGGTATCCTGAAAATGTGCAATACTTATTCTCTAAGAGTAAAATTGCTTTTAAACAACTTCTTTCAATGAATCTCATATAAAGCAAAAGGCAATCTGGTTTCTTCTAGTAGAAATAAATCCTGCAAATCTGAAGTTTGATAGATTCTGGTTTGCTTAATTAAGGTTAGTACAAGCTCAGAATTCTTTATCCAATATCCTTGGGACCAATGTCTTTTAGATTTCAGAGATTTTCGTATTTTAGAAAGCTAATACTGTGTATATAACATTTATTAAGTAATACTCTAGGGTCTGGGGCAACACCTTATATTCAAATACATTATTATTTATGCAGTAAAATTTATGAATATTCACAGCCAGTGGGATAAGGACCTAGAACAGCTTAATGTCAGATTGGAATAGGTTTTACTGCATAATTTGCCACAAATTCACAAAGATATTTACGACAATGGAGTTTTTAGGTATTGGAACTACAGACCTGTAATGGTTCAAGTTAGTCACTTAGGGACCCAAAGTTTTGCCACTTTCCTTGGGGGGATATAATGCAATTTCATGGACATCAGAAGGACTCCTTGCAAAAGAAAATATTTACCTCAAGTAACAGTAGAATGACTATAAAAAAATCACCTTTGAGAAACAGCTGATGGATTTAAATTCCCTTCATAGTATAATTAACTAATATAAGACCATTTTCTGAAAATGTTTTGATAATGGGATCAGAGACTGATTTTCTTTCAAATCTGGAACACCCTAAGTTCACTATCTTCTCGTCTGAAACCATTTGAATATTTCCCCATCCAGTTTTTGCTTTATAAGTCATGTCGACGAATTTAAGTGTTACCCTAATCATAATGAAAATTCATGGAAAGTTTAAGCAAGAAAGTAATCAAATGACATCTACATGTTACAAAAAGTCCTAGCATCACCATAGAAAAAGGAGAAAGATGGCTATCGGAGATACTGGAACAAAGGAAGCTAAGTAAGAAGTCACCGAAAAATTGTAAGTAAAGTGTAATGGTCTAGAGCTTCCAAGTCTCAAAATTCAAAAAAAGATGAGACAGAAGTGACACCACTTAATGCCTGTTTGCATATGGGAATGACAGAGGAGTCAAAAAAGACTCAGAGATTTCTAATTGAATAGTGATATCTTTAATAGAAATAGAAGGTAAGATTGTATTGTGGAGCAAGCAGAGGTGCAATTGAGATACTAAGCTCAGTGCTGAACATACTGAATTTGAGGTTTCCATGCGATATCCAACGTTTATTTATTTTTGGGACAGAGAGAGACAGAGCATGAACGGGGGAGGGGCAGAGAGAGAGGGAGACACAGAATCGGAAACAGGGTCCAGGCTCTGAGCCATCAGCCCAGAGCCTGACGCGGGGCTCGAACTCACAGACCGCGAGATCGTGACCTGGCTGAAGTCGGATGCTTAACCGACTGCGCCACCCAGGCGCCCCTCCATGCGATATCCAAATGGAACTACCTACCAAGAAGTCAGCTCTAATACTTGAAAGTTCGGGGGAGACGTATAGACTCATGATTTAAATATTTTCTTAGGAATCTATCGATATTAAAGATGGTACAGGGAGAATGTAAAGGGAAGTGAACCCTCAGGTCACCATTCGTTACAGTTTGGTCCCAGGAGGAGGTACCTGCAATGCCAACTGGAAAGAAGGGGTCAGATGTTTTGCAAGAAACCAAAAATGCCCAGTAGCTTGTATGATACAGTGAGAATGTTTTGAAAAGATCGCATTGTTAGACAAAGAAATTAGTTATTCATAGAAAAGGGAATGAAACTTGTTTACTGGAAGTCGTGTCAAGGAGGTCGTTAACAGCCATACTGCAGCAGCTTCATGGACTAGGGCCAGAAGACAGACGGCATGGGGGCGCAGCAGCGTAAGACAGATCAGTGTGAAGACGGGAAGGAAGGTAGGGATAACAGGTGGTTCAGAAAAGAAAAAATAACTTGGAGAGACAGGAGTCGGTTTAAGAATAGAATTAACATATAGAGGAATATTGAAAATACAGGAAAGACAAAGAGAAGTAGAACAAGGTTCCCTGGGAGGAAAGACACGCAGGAAATGTTACAGGCTTGGTTGCAAAGAATCTTCAGCTTACAGCTTCTATTTTCCCAAAGAAATACGAGCTCAGTGTGAAAGGAAGCTGTATGAGGTTTGAGATGAAAAGAGAACATTTGAAAAAGCAGCTGTGAAAAATACGAGTAAACTGACAAGGGAAACAAGACATTTTCAAAATTGGTCTTTTAGTGGAAGTTGCAGTCTGAATTTAGAGGGGCCTAGCGGTATCAATCTACAGTTAATTAATTTTTATTTCAAAATGCCACAGAGGAATAATAATGGTGAATGCTCTATGCGGAAGATGGCAAGAGATGCCCAAAGAATTGAAATCAAAAAGTATTATCCTCATGAAATTTTTATTGATTTTTACTTTTTACTTAAGTGCAGAAAATATAATTAAACAGATAATTTTATAGAAGTTAAGAAATGATGAAGAATAAATAATAAACTAATTTCATTCTCCTATAGTAGCATTAGCAGACTATAGACAAGATGGATGCTATAGATACAATTTATGATATAATTGATGAGACATTTATTTGCTAACCTTATATAAACTCCACAAGGGATTGGTCTGCTTTTTATGTTGCTGCAAAAAAACAGCTATGACCATTGTTGGCAGAGAATAAGTTTACCATAAATATCAGTTGAATGAATTAATGAAGAACCTTGTGGTCAAAGATGTGAGCTAGACAATTATGGAGGCTACTAACACTAAGAGTGTTAACTATGGAATTAATGTCAGTCTGGAGCAAAATCTCCAGTTGTGTGTCATTTATGATGTTGCCTGGTATGATCTTGGTGAGGAAAAGACACCATGGTTATAAAATTTTTATTTGATATACAAACAAGATGACCTTGAAGTTGAATAAAGAGGAAATCTTACATTTCCACTTAAGTTTACATACTCAAGTACAGGGTGCAGGAGGCTAACAAAAGGTAAGCCCGTTGTGACACCAAAGGCATACCAGTTAAAAATTAATCCAATTATGATTCCATGCCAAAAAATAAATGGTGCTTTCATTAAAGTGGCACTAGTGTCCTGTGCACTGATGTGCACACATTTGGAATAATGTGTTCAGTTTCACGTGCCCTTCTGGGAAATCAGACAGAGATTATCTGGAAAGTCGTAACTAAGATCTCCAAACTCTGAGGGAAATGAGGATGATGAGGGTGAAGAATGAGAGGCATAGGGAGAAAATCACAGCACTGTCAAATGTAACAAAAGAAAAGATCATTGGTAAGTTGAAGAACTTCCCTTCCTATGGAGGGGATCGGACTAACTGACCTTTAACTGACCTTTAAGATAGTGTCATTCTCTAAGATTCTGTCTGCATTGTTTGTCCCATAGGAAACTGGGAGGCTTTTGAAGAAAGATACAAGTCTTAAACATGTTTATTCTTTCTCACCAGAAGGAATATCACAAAAGCAATCAGTTCCTCTTCAATTGAATCTTTTCAATAAGATATTTTAGTTTCTCAGTCTTGTGGAGCCAAACATATCTTATCCTTATAAATGTTTGTCTGCCTTGCAGGAGAAGGAGAGTTACAGTTAACAGATCCATATTTACTGTGTGCAATCTTATCTTTCTTATATTTATGGAAGATGTATATTTTCCTAGAAGATAAATTTGCTTTCAACCAAAATATTTGATGAGACACTGTACTCTAGATTTTTCATGTTTGGTTTCCACGTTTCTTAAATGGAAATGTAAGCTGTATTTTGATCTGAATAAATTTGAAACAGTCACTAGTTAATGAAGTTTATATATTAGTTCAACTCACAAAAATGGTTCAAATATTCAGGTCAGGATGAAACTACCAAAACTATAAAACAAGTTATTGTGTTTAATATATACTATATATCATGTATTATTATGTTATATATAAACATATAACATAAAAATGGAATTAAGCCAGAGTTTATGCTTATGTCTGGCAAGTATGTTTTTTTGTTACCTAAGATTGCACCAAATAATATTTACATCAACTGAAATCCCTATATATGCTTTGTTTCTGATGTTTTTCCAAACAATTTATACAGTTTATACCTTTAAAGAGAAGGTTACACTAACTAGAATTAAGATTAGGAAAAAAAGGGAGAATTTTAGATTTACGTATATATAATTAATTTTACACTTTTTGTGATTTTAAGGTTCAGAGTGAGATTCTGTTAAACTGATAATAGATATGTTTTTGGATCCTAAACCACTTAGTCTATTTGCACTATTTAAAAGTTAGCTGTCATTCTCCAGAAGTCCTCCCACTTATCTGCAGTTCTGCTCTCCTAGTTTCTCCTAGGTCAGCTGGGTCCCGAAGCAGCTGATCCTCCTTCTGATGAATCAGAGATGGTCAATTGTTACCTAATGCTGTGTCACCGCGCGGATCCGCTGCGTCTCCTCATGTGGGCATTTTATCACCTGGCAACATCTCAAGAAGTGGGTGAGTACAGGACAAGAAGAGATTTTGAGAGAGACCAAATTTACATAACTTCTGTTACAGGGTGTTGTTATAATGGTTCTATTTTGTTATTAGTTATTATTCCTAATCCCTTACTCTTCCTATTTTATAAACTGCAATTTATCACAGGCATGTATACATAGGAAAAAACATAGTATATATAGCGGTTGGTACTATCCATGGTTTCAGGAATCCCCTGGGGGTCCTAGAACATATCCGCATGGATAATAGAGGGACGACTATAACATGCATCTAACTACCACTGTCCATACCTGACCTTTGTGGTCTTGGAAATATGAATCAAAAATCCCGACTGAAGCTTACTTTTAACACATACTGATCACAGAAATGTCTTAGTGTTTACACAGTACAAAATAACGTGGGCCTTGACCATGACAATTACGTAAATTGCACGTTAAAAATATTTAAGTTGAAGTGCCTATGTATAAACAAGATTTCTAGATTGATTTCTTCACTTTCTGTTTTTGACCAGGCAAAACTTTTCTTGGACCAGACAAAACACTTTATGTAGGGAACGTTTAGAATTATTAATGAATAAAAAGATTACCTTGGATCATACAATCATTTTTTTTAATACTTCTGTCTGAAAAATTGAGAACCAAATGTGAAATGAGTTCAGATGAATGTAAGAAGGGAAAATTCAAACTTGGAAAGTGGTCTCATGGATTGATTTTACAGATATTATTTAACTTTCTCCTGTCATAAAGTTTGCCTTTTATATTTTAATCTCTCCCTTTGTAGTCACACAAGTAAGTAGCCAGTATTGTGAAAGGGAAAGCATTATATTAGAAACAGTCCTGGTTTGTCAAAATATTTGAGTTGTCCTTTTGCGTCCCCTATTTCCTGCTAGAGTATCTTGAATTAGCCTCTTACTTTAAGACTTAGACTCCTTCATGTCTATAATAGATAATGGTGTGTTCTTAGTTTGTCTTCCAGGGTTTATGGTAAAGTAGAATTACAAGTCCACCACGATGCAAATCAAGCATGTTGTGAAAATAAATGCTAATATGCTAAGATCTAGCTCGCCGTGTACATGCTTCTCTGTATTTTTCACTAATCTGTGTACCCATAGAGAGTGTTTTCTGAAAATATTTTGCTCTAGATTCCTTTCCTATGTTAAAGCCAGTTCCCATCATATGTATATAATATTCTTATAAAGTAATGCAAACAATAGAATGGAATCAAAATTAGGTGTTTGTGGAAAGTTATTTTGTGTTTTCATGACTTTGTTCATCCTTAATGAATCTCTTTGTCACTGTGT